TAGAGCTTAGGACATTTATGACTGTCGGCAGAGTCTTTGAAAGATGCTCGGGCATAAAAGAAGCTCGAGTTCCATAAGTCCGAATATATGTCAAAAAGAGTTTTGATGATGATGTTACAAGGCTTTTAACAAGAAATTCGTTCTCAGGCAAGCCCAGAGGACTTTTGCAGGATGAGCAGCAAACATGGAGCTCCATTTCATTGTGAAAATTAGAAGATGGAAAAGGGATATCCTGATTTACGAATCTAAATGACTCGAGTTTTTCTTTCACATTATCCTGAAAGGAGAATTCAGTTCTTTGATTGATATTTGTAGCCATATTGATGCGACTGGGAAGAGCAAACTGAGCAGTGTGTTCATCAAAACATAAATTTGAACACTGCATTTCAGGATAGCTACTGTTCTGCATGACCTTCAACCTTCTTCTCTTTTGATTACAAGAGCTCGCGCTCTTAACAAAATGTTGATCTTGTTTGACATCAGAGGGTTCTAGAGATGCTAATTTTTCCGGTGTAACTGTTAACAAGCCAGCATCCTGATAGGCAAATTTATCTGCAGTTGCACTGCATGACAAGGAAGAAGGTATTTCTGGAAATTGATGAAAGTGTTGGAAAATTGCTAAATTTTCCGATTCTGGATCGTAAGTGACTGCAGTTGCTGATTTATCAGAAGTAACTGATAATTTGCCAACAATTTGTGGAGCTAATCCATTTTTCGTTTTATTACATGATAATGAGACTGGTAACTCTGAAAGCTGATGTAAATCTTGGATAATTGGGAAATTTTCCACCCGAGAAGTATCACACCCAGCGTTTTTGAGACCTTTATCAATAACCATGGGCAAATCTGGACTGTTTCCAGGAGATAATGATTGAGATCTGTAATAATTTCAATTTTTGGCTCCAAAGAAGAAAACTTAAATCTTAAAACAAGAGAGGTTATTCTTAAGTGATGAAAACCTTAAGTGGTTAGAAAAATGTAGAAGTAATTACCTGAAATGCTTGAGAGATTTATTTTCAGAATCATTGTTAATGTAGCGGTTCAAAATTTTCTCATTTGTCTCTCCAGTCTTGCTCGTAACAATAGGAGTTTGTGGCTGGAAGCCGGGAGAACTATCATTGCCTAAACAAGTTGATGTGGTTGTGAATTGGTTGATCTTGACTAGTGTCTTCTTATCTGAGTCAATATTTTTTTCAATGTGATTGCCGTTCTTAATTTTCGGATTCTCCTTCGTTGGAGGCACCTGTTTTGATGACTTAAAAGGCTCATATTTCTCTCTGCTGCCATTTAAACCATTAACCTCATCGGAGTCTTCTTCCAAAGTCTGCTGTTGCTGTCAAATAAATCATAACCAAATAATATCAGGTGAACTTTAGTAACAATGAAATCAAACTTAGGTTATCACTCTAAGACCTTTGTATCTCTGAAAAAGGTTTGTAAGCCCTCCAATGAGTCATCAAAGTTCTTATAAGATTTAATTGAGCTCCTTAACCACTTTGATATATAAGCAAGATTACGTGGCTCCTCATAACGCTCATCTGGAAATAAGAAAAATGCATAAACATAAACAATACCCCGATTACCGTATTAATCAAAATACCTACAAACATAGTGGAAGAACTCATTTTACATAGTAAAATAAGACGGTTCTCAAATATTAGAAGAGGTAGGGGGCCCTAGCCCCTCGCTTCTATCACCAAATAGATACAAGCACACCCAAGGCCAGGGAGGAAAATTGATTGCCTTCAAAATTATGTTTTGAATCTACATATTCTAAGTCTTCAAACTGAAACTCACACATGAATGTGAATTACAAGATGAAAACAACTGACAAAAAACACTCAATTAATATTTTTAATAACATAATCATTCATTAAGCTTATGTAGAAACAAAACAAGGTAATTAGATGACATATTGAAGCTCTCTTTAAAATCTAGTTTTATAACTGTATTTCCTAATCAAACCAAAAATTAATATCTAAATAGCAGCATCAACTATTGTTTTTAATTTCAAGCCGTTTGAAACATTATATTAATGCAATTGAAACCATTCATTGTAGAATTTGGATGGATCCTATTAAATCAACAAGCATTCTTAGAAAATCTTGAATCATATAAACTACTATATTTAACGTATTAAAAGAGAATTGATGGTTTGATATTTTTTTCCAGTGGAAAGGCGACGACACAAGCTTCTGATTGGTTTTAAACTTGCATTTGAAGCTTCTGAACAATAATATCAAAATCTTATTGTGTGAAAAATGGTGATTATCCTTCTAAGATGACATTTATACAAGCATCTAACCTAATTCCAAATAGAACATATAAGCATCCAACATATGGCATCATCCTGTCAAGATTTGCTCTAATGTAGGGTCCTTTTTTGTAAATAGACGAAGA